CGTCCGTGGGAATTGAACCTTAGACCTGCCACTTGAGGGTTGACAACCTATCCACTTCACTAGGTCGCCACACCCCTTAGGTTAGTAAGATTAACAATATTTGCATATCAATAATAATAAAATATTATACTTATTTTTTTTTTAACTTTAATTAAGAGAATAATTAAATGAAAACAGATAATAGTTCAATTGTACAAAGTGATTCTATTTCAAGCCAGGAGACTTCTAATAGTAATGTTCATATTAATAACAAAAAGCATTCATCAGCAGTTTGAAATGATTTTACCTTAATATTTTCATCTGATCCTAATAAAAATAAAGCACGATGTGTTCATTGTAAAAAAGAATTTTCTCGGAAAAGATCATTAGGTACTACACACTTACACTAGCATTTAAGTACTTGTAGTAAATATAAAATAGCAACTGGATTACCTACTTCAGCAAATAAACAACATGATCCAGACAATGATATGCAATATACTTTTAATCAGTTTAAAAATTGGGTTTATTCTGAAGAAAAAAGCAGGAATGATTTAGTTAATATAGTTATTAGAGATGAATTGAGTTTTCAATTCATAGAATATACTGGATTTTTAAACTTTATTTCAGGATTATGATCTGATTTTAAAGTTTGTAGCACTGATACCATTAAAAGAGATTGTTTAAAATTATATCAAGATCACAAAAATTTTGTCAAAAAAATTCTGCAAAATATCTCTAGTAGAATATCATTGACAACAGACATTTGGACATCACAACAGCAACTTAGTTATAGTTCTATTACAGTACATTTCATAAATAATGATTGGGAACTTTTTAGTTTTCTTATGTCATTTAAATTAATATGATTTCCATATATGGGAATAAATATCGCTAATTCAATCAAAGACAGTACAGATGATTTTTTAATTACTCTGAAGGTATATATTTTATTATTATGATTATTATTGTTATTATTATTAAAAACTAAAAATTAGAATTTTTTAAAGCTACAAACCATAACTTTTGATAATGCTTTAGCAAACAATTTTGCTATTTGTGAACTTGCTAAGCAACTTATTTTTCTTTCAATTAATATTAATGTTGAGCTATTTCAAAACCACTGCTTGGCACATATTATAAATCTAATTGTTCAGGATGGTATAAAAAAAATTTCAAATATTATTAAAAAGATAAATATATAATTTTTTAAATTTAATTGCTTATATATTTATTATAAAATTAAATAAGTTTATTTTAATTAATATAGGTCTGTGATTGTGTTAAAGCAATTCACACCTCACCAAAGTGCCATCAAGCTTTTGTTGATGCTTGTGATTATAAGGTTATTGATATAATTATACCTTCGCTTGATTGTACAACATATTGGAATTCGATATATAATATGTTAAATTCTGCAATCAAAGTTAAACAAGCATTGTTAAAACTTAAAAGCCAGAACTGTTATTTTCCAGATCCACTATCAGAAGATAAATAGGAACAAGTTAGTATAGTGCAAGATAGACTTAAGGTTTTTATGAATGTAATTATAATTTTTTATATATATTTTATATTATATTTAAATATTAATTATTACAATATTTATTAAAGGTACTAAGCAAATGTCTGCAAGTTCATATATAACACTTAATTATGCAATTATAATAAATTTTAAAATTAAATTATATTTACAAAAAATGCGATCAAGTTCTAGTATATTTATTTGTGAATTTGCTAATTCTATGCAAAAAAAATTTAATAATTACTGGAAAGATACAAATATTTTATATGCAATTGCATGTATACTTGATCCATCTTACAAATTAGAATGGTTCAGATACTATTATGAACAAAAAGAAAAATTGTCACAAGAAGAAACTGAAAAGATTGTAATTAATTTACAAACAAGGTATATGCATATATAAAATTTTAAATTTATATTAATTATATACACAACTTATTTATTTTTTTTTTTATAGATTTGAAGAAACTTATATCAAATTTTATTATAAACATTCATATACTAATACCTCTATTGAAAGGATTACAAGCACCTCACCTGATTTAGATTACCAATCTGATGAAGATTACTGTCAATATGCATCTAAATAATCACAAATGAATACTAATAATCTTTATGAAATTCAATAATACTTAAATGAACCAACAATCTCAAAAAAAATCAAACCTCTTTATTGGTGAAAATCAAATTATAATCGATTTCCAAATCTATCCAAGATGGCCAAAGACTTCTTAGCTATTCCAGCGACAAGTGTACCATCAGAACAAATTTTTAGCTTGGCTAGTAGAATTATTGATGATTGTCATGTTAATTTAGAATCAAATATAGTTGAAGCATTAATATGTCAATGGAATTGGTTATCTAAGTAGAAGATGTAATTGTTTTTTATATATAATATAAAATTTAATAAATATGCTTATAAAATGTAAATTTTTTTCTATTAATATGTAAATTACTTATAATATGTAAATTGCTTATAATATGTAAATTGCTTATAATATATAAATTGCTTGTAATACATAAATTGCTTAAAGACAAATTAGTTCCAAACTTTTGTTTATGTCATTGGATTCATAGGTTAACCATGGATTGTACTATGTGGTAATGAACTGAGCTTGGATTTATTTAATTAAATATGGGCCAGATTTGGATCTAAATAATTGATACATATTTTTAATAGGCTGGATCTGAACTTTAAAATATCTGACCCAGCCTGACCCATGCGGAACCCTACATATAACTTTAGTCATTATCTAATTAAGGATTCTGCTCAAGAATTATCCACTAGTTGTTATATTTAAGATCTGCTTGTAAATCTCCTATTTAAACTTTCTGATTTCAATCCTATTACATATATGCAATGTTTCTATTACTACATAGACATACCAGGTTAGGACTATCTAATTACTATTTATATCAAGATACCATCTTATTGGATGTTACCAGATATTCATAGTCTCTCAAATTTACTCTTGACATAAACTTACTAAGTATAGTATTAAGATTATCTCTTAGATTTATCCAATTTTAGTAGATCCTGTATCTACTAGAACCAGTTTGGTGTCAGAAATATTCGAATTTCAATAAGTTCATTCCTTTTTCATAGTTTTCTTTTATGTTTACTGTATCACCTACTAATGCATCTTTTCTTCATTTCTGGTATATTCACTACTTCTCTTGCATCAAGTGCCAACTTATCATATGAAAATCTTTTTTTTGAAAACTTCCTTATTTACTGATCTTCTAATCACATGAACTTAGCCACAAGGCTTCATGTACATTCATATGCTTCCATAGATTACAAAGTTGCCTCCAGCTGGAATTGAACCATCGACCTTGTCTATGAAGGGAGGGGTGCCTAGACCACTAGGCTACGGGACCCCATCCCTTCTTTGATTTTTTTATTCAATTGCATATGTTTTTTCTAAATCCAAATTTTTTTGATCAGTAAATATACTTCTATCACACATTTTGCAAACTCCGGCAAAAATTGCAATTAATTGATTAATTGAGATCAAATAATTGCCTTCACAATTAAATTTTCAGTACACCTGTGTTTTAAACTAAACTACAGTTTATTTATTTGCATTGTAATTCACAGTTCACATCTCTACCGAAATCAAAAAATTATCGAATCGACAAATAATCATTCGGTTAATTTTTTACCAGAATAATGAAAACAGCTGTAAAGTTTGGGTCCGGTTTGAACCGGACTAATAGTATGTATAACTACAAAAGTCTTAAAGATGTACAGTTAATTCTAAAATTTTATAATAAACTCATCATATAACAAAATTTATTATAAAAAACATAGTAAATTAAACCTAAAGTTTTTTTTTACTATAAGAACCACCAGTTCGTTAGAGTTGATAATAATATATTACTAAAAAAAACTTAAAATCCACGTTAAAACACATACACTAAATTATAAATGTTGTATACTTTAAAAATTAAAATTCTATATAGGTTTTTTTTAGTATAATATAAATTAACTACGTAAGGATTTTCACATCACCATTCACAACTTCAGAAGCCTTTTATCCGATTTGTGAGAAATATGCTAATTTTGATATTTTTATTCTCAATGCATAAAATTTTTTTGAGGAATGAAGATGACATTATATCGTTACCTGGCACAAGTACGTTAGAACATCGGAACATATAGTTATATGCCAAGTTTGAGATTCAATTCCGAATGGTTGCTACTTAACGGCTTCACCTTATGTAATGCTAACCTATTTCACCTTATGTACGTTGCATTAAGCAGAATAATACTTATTACCGGACAACTTTAAAAACCCGAATAACCCAGTATTAAAGGAAAAAAATTGTGAAATCATTCGTCATATCGAATTTCTGTATCCCCAAATTGGTTTGTTTTAATTTTACCACCACGGCGATATTCATCAAATTCTTCTCTAGTTCTTGGTAAACCCATAGAATATCTATCACCATCAACATCAGTCTTACTGGCGAATTTTTGTTGTCGCGAATTATCATCATTAATTTGCTTTTGTTGTTCAAGTTTAGCATTTGAACGGATTTTGTCCCAAGTAGTTGAAGTTGTGTTCTGTGTTCGAATTTTATTCCAGTAATTATCTTGTGAAGATTTGTGAAGTGGCTTTTGTGGATGACCTAATTTACCCGATACAATAAATAATTCCTGATTATATTTCTGTTTGAATAAAAAGGTTTGATTGAAATTTATGATGCTTAAAAATTACCATAATTATAATCACTCTCATTTGCATTAATGTCTCTAACCATCTCATCTGTCATTATCGTGGAATTTCCAGAATTATCGTAAGGTCCTTGGTGAAAAGAATGTTGAGGCTTATTCTCTTTCTCAAATTCATCAGCTAGAGTGGATTGATTTCCATTTTCAAATCTATAACCATCAGAATTTGTAGGTTGATCCGGAGGATGCAGTGTACGACGCGGTGGAAGATGCTGTCTTTTTTCATTACATTAATTAAATTTCTCACATATTAAAAAACCGACCAGATCAAAAACAATAATATAAGGTGCCGTTTAAGGTAATTATATTCTAAACAAAAACTCAACTGCATTTCATTAATAAATTCCATGATACGTTGTGAATTTGGCGATGATTTTATCATATTAATGCTAGCTATCGACCCTGTCACCATTCCTGCCTGGCTACCAAACAAAGTAGTGCCTATAATAATACATAAATTATTAATCAAGTATATATATTTAATCACTTCGACAAAAGATTACGTAATTGAGATTTATTATTTTACCAAAGCATAACCAAATAGTGCCAAAAGTTCTAATTTTTTGAACTTTTGCTGCATATATTAAAAATAATAATGATAAATTGGTGTAATGATATATAATATCTTAAAGAAATATATAAATATTATGAAATTTTGAATTATCATTGAACAGCTACAAACCAATAGCACCACCAACGACTAAACCAGCCAAAGAACCTATCCTCACTATAATTAAATGTGAGGTTATTCGATAAATTAATACATAATTCTATATGAGACTTGTAATTAAATATAAAATATGAAACCAACACACTATGCATAGAAAATTTTGATTTTGCACGATTGAGAATGTCAATTTCTTCTTGCGTAAAATTGTATTCCTTAGATCGTTCTTTAATTCTATCATATACTGACATCTTATTTATTGGAAGGGAGTCTCAGGCGATAACTAACCATTATTTAAGATAATTTTTTCATGATAATCTTCCCGTGCACAAAATTTTTGGGTGATGTAACCAAAGCTCCTAACTGTCCCTTCAGGGGAGACCGTCCCAAATTAGGTCTAGTATTGTTAGTCGACTAAGTCATTAAGGGAATATTGTTATAGAACTCATGCGTATTTTTTTTTTTTTCGATATAAGCAGTGAAAATCTTAAAAAAGACAATAGTTGAACTTTAACCAATAATTTTTAGTTCGTCGACTAAGTCGGCTAGCCCTAAACGGTTTACAACACTGAATGGGAACTCATACAGGGGGATCCCCAAAATTCCGGGTCGGAATACCTCGGATTTAGCCCGGCATTTAGTTAGCATTTAGTAATACAAGTTAACCATTTTGGGCCAAAATTATCAGCTGGGCAGCTTTACTTAATGAGTGAGCTATGGTTTCATTAGTAAAACTTTTAGTGATCTTGGGCAAAATTAGTTAATTCCGGCCCTGCCGATCATGATTCCGATGTATTCCGACCCGGAATTTTGATGAGTTCTGAATGGGATATCAAATACTAATGATATGTCCGATGAAGATTTGAGATTAGTCATGGCAGAAAAATGTCTAACGGGATAGCCGACCACTTCCGACCTGATAATATAAACAGGACTTTTGCACATTCATGTTTCAGTTATTCTGCGAATTCATTGATGGCCCGTGCCGAAATTTCGGAAAAACTCATCTTTGATTATATATATATGTTGTGCTTAGTAATTTTAGGCAGTTTCAACTTTAGACACTTGAAATTACAACTTTAAGCAGATGCTAACTTCAGGCATAACATAGCTAGTGTTTAATACAGGTCTAACAACTTTGATATATAATCCTGACAGGTTTCTATAAGATAACGGCTTTTGCAAATATTAACACACTTATTTTTATATCTAGTGTTTGATTCTGTAACATAGTTGTTTGATTTCCTTTTATGGCTATATGAGCTTATATGTTGTATGTAATAATTACTGTATTATTTTTTGTCCTATGATGTTTGTTGTGTTATTGTTGTTGTCAGTTTGTATTGTGTTGTTGTTATACTGGTTTGTTAGAGATGATGTTATTGCTTGTTTTGTAAAGGGTATGTTATATCACCTACTTTTTTTTTTTTTTTTTTTTTTAGTATTAAGGTGACCTCTTTAGTCTTTTGACTTTATTAATACTTCTGTCAGGTATCATGATAAGTGTACAACTAGTTACACATGTAATTTTTCTATATTATCTATTTAAGAAGTCTGCTTGAAGGTTTCTCACTAGTTGTCATACCTAACACCTCTGCTTAAATGTTCTATTTAAACTTTCTGATCTGAAACCCTTGTATCAACTTCACTAGATCAAGCTCAGATCCTTGTCTCAACCTTAGGACTATTTTATCCTTGAGATAAACCTATCAGAGCCTCTGTGTCTCACATACAGCTAATCTGGATTTCATGTAATATGTTATAGTTACCTAGCACTTGCAGTCAGAACTAACCTTAAACTACTCATTATACTATTTTTATTCTTAAAAGTTTACCCAAACTCTGGTACCTATCTTTCTAACTTCTTCTCTTCATCTTATACTATCCAACTCAGAATCTGACAGACTCTCTAGACTTCCAATCCAGATAACCCAGTATGGTATACCTTTTGGTATCCTTTTTCTTCAGTGATTCTAGCGGTCTGGTTGGTCATGTGTTCCTCTATACATATTTCTGCCAGTTGCATGTCTGCCTATTCTTTATTGGGGTTTTTTGTGTTTCTATCGGTTCAACAGCACTATCAAAGGTTTGTGTTATCTCTTTCTCAAGATTTCCAAATGAGATTCTGTTTCTTCAGCTTTTTGGTCTTCTATATCTGATGGTCTTATTATGGGTTTGTATCAGAATCTTATGTAATCTCAGTTTTAACATTCCTCTATATACATATAATGTTACATTTTGCATAGATGCCTCAGGTTCCCAATGATGAGTAGAACCTGATTGGTTGTATTCAAGATTACAAATATCTAAACCTAACTGATTAACAGAAGACAGTTTAGCTATAATACAGGTTAATTTCCAAATTTTGTTGTAGGTAGGATTTGAACCTTAGACCTGCCACTTGAAGGATAACAACCCAACCACTACACTAGGATCACCATTCTCTATTATTTATTTTTGTTGCTAGCTGAAATTTGAAAAGAAACAATATATTTTTTTTTATTATAGACATCTTTATAAGTAAAATCTAGGTTGGTACAATGTTGTTGCTGTTTAGTAAAGTATTTGTGATTGCTGCTCATTATGCCTGGTGTTTTTACTTTGTAACTTTGCATTACTAATAGTCTTAATTTGTCTTCTTAGTTAAAAGTATTGAATTTTCTCTTTTTACTTTTGTCTTGTATAGTTAAAGTAGTTGTATCCTTGCTTTGTATCTTGTATAAATAGTTTTTTTGCCTAAAGTTAGCTTTTTTATTTGGGTTTTCTTCTTTTGTATCTGTTATTTTTCTATTTTTTGTTTTTTGTCTTTGCTGATTTTTACATTTTAAAATCTGCAAGTAAGAGTTTCTTTATTTAAAATAAAAAATATATAATTATATTATTTTTATATTATAAATAAAATAAATAATTAGAGATATAATAATTTAGTAAAGTAAATAAGTGATTAACTTCTAATTAGCAAGTCTTAGGTTCAATTCTTACAGATAACAAATTTTGGAAATTATATCTATAGAATGATAACTGTTTTTTGTTAATTAGTTAAATTTATGTATCTGTAATCTTAGATATATCAGGTTAGAGCCCATCTAATTTTAGAAGCTTAGAGCATCTATATAAAGTATAATGTTATATATATATAGAGAAATGTAAAAAACTAATATTGCATAAGGCTTTAGTGCAAACCTATGATAAAACCACTAGGCATAAAAGACTAAAAAACTAAAAAAACAGAATTTTACTTAAAATTCTAAATGAAAAGATAGCACAAACTTTCAATAAAACTGTTGGACTAATAAAAGATCATGAAACACCTTCATAAAAATTGTTAAATAAACTAAATAACATGATATATTGAGAAATATATGACCAACTAGATTGCTAAAATCACTAAAAAAAAAAGATATATAAGTATATTATACTGAGCTATCTGAATTGAAAGTCTGAAGAGTCTGTTAATTCTAAGTTGCAGCTAGTAAGAAATAATGAAGATGTTAAAAAGATAGGTATCAGAGTTGAATAAACTTTATAAGAGTAATAGCAGTTTAATGAATAACTCTGATTACAAGTATTGAACTTGGTCATAACATCAAATCAGGTTAGTAGTAAAAAAAAATACAGCTTACTCTAATAAGTTTATCTTAAAAATAAAAATAGTTTAAAAATTATAGTCTTATAGTTGAAGGCAAAAGGATTTGAGTTAAGTAACCTGATAAAGTTAATATCAAAGTCAAATTAAAAGGTTTAAATAAAACATCTAAGCAGAAGTGTTAAGTATGACAACTGGTATGAAACCTTTAGGTGAACTCCTTAAATAGATAATATAGAAAAGTTATATGTATAGCTAGTTGTATACTTGTTTAATAGTTCAGTATAAATATGTTTATATAAATATGTACCTAATATAAGTATTAATAAAAAGTTAAAACCAAAAAGGTCATCTTAATACTGAAAAATAAAATAAAATAAATAATTACATTAAAATAATTATTCTTTAGAAAATATGCAACTGACCAGTATATTATATATTAAGTAATTTAGTATTGTTTTCTTAAATAATATATATACCAAAGTATTAATTATGTTTTTATTATTTTTTTTTAAATATTAAGATGAGTACTTGTAACTCAGAATTTTATTGATAGTATATTTGGATAATAGTTGCATTACAATCACAAAAGGCAATTATGAAGAGTATACAACTAGCTACTTATATAACTTTAGTTATTATTTAATTTAAATAATCTGTTTAAAGGTTCTATACTAGCTGTCATATTTGGAACCTGTTTGTAAATTTTCTATTTAAACATTTTAGTTTCTGTATTCATCTATCTATTTCTGCCTACCAATAACTTTGGCTAATGCCAATAAAAATATGCTATGGCTACTAAGTTTTTAAAGCAGTTTACTTATCTGAGAAATCTTTGATCTTATATTAAACCTTTCAGAATTTTCTGTATTTCATTCTTATAACTAACTCAGTATTGTTATAGCTGAGACCAATACTTGCAGTTAAAGTGTATTATTAAACTGCTATGTTCTTGTAAAGTTCATACCAAACCTGATACTAATTTTACAATATATATTTATTATTTTGATATTTAATTCAAGTTCTACCAAGCTCTCAGACCAAATAGCCTAAAAAGATAGAATTAAGAAAATAAAATTTAAGCACAAAAGAGTAAATTACTTAAAACTTTAAAAGTTAAATTTTGAAATGAATTTATACAAACTATATAAAAAAATTATAAAGTAAAATAAAAATAAATATATTAAAAAAGAAACATAATTAAAGAGAAACTTAAAATTTATTTAAAAGAATTTATATTTAGAAAAAAATATGAAATAAACTTATAAAAAGAATTTATTAAAATAATTAAAATTTATAAAATATAAAATAATATATAAATGCTTTAATTCTATATTTTTGTATTAAATTTATTTATTAACAAATTATAACAAGTTATTAAAAAGATAAATTTAAAAAATTTTAAATTATTACAAATTAAAAGAAATATATAAATTTAAAAAAACCAAAACTAAAACTAAATAAATATTAACTTAAAAAATAAATTTCAAACTAATATTAAAGATTAAAATACAAAAATAAAAATTATATTTTTAATTGGTATTAAGAATTTTTATCTTTTACAAAATTATACTTTTTATTATTATTATAAAAAGTTTAATAATTATTCAAGACAAAAAAAGCTTCAAATATTGAATTAAATTATATACTTCTTCAAAAAAATAG